ACTAACTCTTACTCACAGCATAAAAATTGAAAATTTCTGCAACAAACAATATGTCGGATACAAACCTCAACACTAATAATAATAACCAAATCTTCACTTCATCTAATAACACAGTCCCAAGCTCTGATCTTTCTAATATCGATGCTAGCACAAAAGCTTACATTGATGCGGCATGCCAATTATCATCCAATGCAATTATTAGCACAATTAAAATAAACATAAACCAATTCATGGCCGCACACTTAGAATTGATCAATAAACTAAACAATCGAATTGATTTAAGTTTTAATATACAATATATATTAAATGCTTAACCTAGTGTATTAAATCAACCACCTGCATACATCGACATCAGCCACAACCACAATCACACCTCTACCAGAACTCAACCACAAGCGACCAAAATGGAAACAGCACCAACCAACAAGATAATTGTCCTCTAACTCCACTTTTAAACAACCTTCTTTTAGACACCAGTACAACTAGCCCAAGATATAAGACAAGCACTGCATCTTGTAAAGTTCAAACCAGCTCGTTAAAATTAAAACCAACTACACGTGCATTTCCATCATTCGACTATTTAGAAACAAGTAATTTCCCGGCACCTCAAAGCTTCAACAACCCTATCGCAGCCCAAGTAGAATGTATCTATCTCTGGTGAGTCCTCAACTGGCCAAAAGGATAAAGAGCTATTGAAACAATACCTAGCAAGCCCAGCTTACCTACATGATTATGAAAATCCATCGCTTTTGATGCCTACATAGATCTACATGAATTCACATATAAAAATCTAAAAGCCTACCTTAAAAACAACGAAGATGTCCACACTCTTTTGACAACCGAAGGTGGCACTATTGCACTTTGTAAATGCAACTATTTACAAAAATTTACTGACATCGAAGAATAGCTACTCATGTTTAAATCATATATGGAAGCCATTCTAGTAATATACAACATACGTAAGCAAGAGTTAAATGCTTACAGAGACCATATCAGCATACTCTGCATAAAACAAGAATTTGCAGCAGTCATTAATTATAATGAAAATCGACATATACATTTAACCATAAACTGCGACTCAACATTGCTAGACTGAAATATAGAAGCTGAGGGTAAAAATTTCGACATAAAAACTACCAAGAAATACCATCTCAGCATCAATACAAAAAACACAAGACCTGATATCTCCTGGCACGACAGAAGGCAAATATGTTTGAATTGGAACCGCAGAGGCTGTAATGAAGAAGCCAACTGTCAATGTGTTTATGTTTGCCTAACATGTAGAAAATACAGGTACCCGGAAAAAAGATGTTTCTTGAACAAAAATTCTTCCTCTAAACATACAGATACTCATTTGGCGAACCAAAACAAATAGCTCA